GGCTGCTTCACACCGGCAGCGTGTGCCACGATAACAATCTCAGCGTTGCGCTTTGAAGCAGTGATGCCATGCGACGAAATGCCGCAAGAGCATAAGTCTCACGCACGCAGAGCATCGACGGCACCAGCCCTAATATAAGGGCCTTAATAATTAGAATAGGGTTTTTTGGCCCATTATACTACTCTTATAATGGAGAACCCCAAAAATAATATTGGCAATCACTGAGGACCCCTATATTGAACCCCAAACCCCAACCTCGGGGCGCTTCGAACTCCCGGGCGTCGAGTCTCTAGCTTGGGGGAAGGGGGGGGGTTCTCTGGAGGATTCCGCCTTTAGAAGGTCCATAAGGCCTATTTCTTAGGTGCATAATGGAGGGGCTTTGGTAGGGGGCCGTTAAGCCTTAGAGTAGGTGAACAGGGTTGTGGCTCCGCTGAAGGTTTGATGGACTACCCTAAAGCCCCTGGACCCTTTTAGTGAGATCCCGAACCCTAGCCCTCAAAGCCCCCAGAAAGCCCAAAACCCTGTGAGGAGCCTTAGGGTGAGAACTACCCATATAGAACCCTTCTAGTACCCTAATAGAAACCCTCATGAAAACCCTTATAGATCCCTTTATGGAACCTTAAGAAGGGACGACCCTCTTAACAGCCTTAGGGTAATCAGGCTTTAGGCTTCTAGGGCTTAGGTTTCGGGCCGTTTTAAGCTTTAGTTTTGACCGACCCGGGGTTTTCCTGGACTTTGGTTTTGTCGTATAGGTTGAGGGTTGGGGGTTTAGTGTCGTATAGGATTTCAGAGGGTTAGGGTTTAGGGCTTTTTTTCGGGTTTAGAGTTCTAGGATTTAGGGTTTAGGGCTTTAGGACCCTAATGTGGCAGCGTCTTCAATCCTGTAAGGAGGTTCCTGTGCGAAGTCAACTTGGTTTGATTGCTTTGGCATGCTCTTCAATGTGAAGTTGTGTTGGCCCCATTGCATGCTCAATAACTTTCTAAAGCTCTCTACCTAGACCCTGGTTTGGAGCACCGTCTTTAGATGACTACTTCTTGCGTGGATCCTGTACACAGATGGAGGTTTCCGAAAATAGGGGACTCTGATATTAGTACCCTAAATAGTAGGATCCTTATAAGGACCCCCAAAACAAGGTACCCCTGCTTTTTGGCAACTCCCAGATCGCAAAGAGTACTGCAATCCTGGTCTAGGCTCAGCAGGACAAGCATGCCCCAAGAAAGGGTGGGCCATACTTGTTGTCAAACCAATCATAAACCCGAAACCTCGAACATTCATGATGCATGAACCTGGGCAGTACAAGTAGACGAAGGCTTACAGCGTATGGGATGCAAGTCGTCGACTTCAGATGTGGATTATAGGCAATTTGTACGAAGACTTCATTGGGTTCTCCGAGTTTAGCCCAAAATCCAAAACCATAAAACCTAAGCCCTAAACTCAACACCCCACACCCTAAAGCCTGAACACTTCCCCCCTAAGTTCTAGATCCCAGTTCTGAATCTCCGATCTCTGTTCCATGGTCTTCGGTCCCTAGAATTTAGGGTTTAGGGTTTAGCGGTTTAGGGTTTAGGGAAAGACTACTGACATGACAGAATGCCTCAGGTGCTCCAGGCCGTCGAAGACGCCTCGGAGGATCCCTGAAGCCTTACTTAAAGGATCATTGGGTTTAGGGTTTAGGGTTTAGGGTCTAGGGGGTTTAGGGTTTAGGGTCTAGGGGGTTTAGGGTTTAGGGTTTAGTGGTTTCTATAAACCCTAAACCCCTAAACAACCCTATTCCCAAAGCCCTTGGCCCTTCGGGAGGAGCCTCTCGCTCCACTCAGGCTCCGTCATCGCAGCCGGGAGGCCCCTGCAAGAACTTCCTAGGGTTTAGGGTTCAGGGTTTAGGGTTTAGGGTTTAGGGTTTAGGGTTTAGGGATTCCCTTAAGGCTCCGGGGGTCATTTTGAGGGATTTTTGTGGTTTAAAGGGTTCCTTTAAGGGCTCATGTAAGGGCTCCCCAAGGGCTCTTTACGACTGCAAGAACTTATTCCCTAAGGCTCCGTGGGTCCCTTTTTAGGTTTAGGGTTTAGGGGTTTAGGGTTTAGGGTTTAGGGTTTAGGGTTTAGGGTTTAGGGTTTAGGGTTTTGTTTGTTTAAGGGATCCTTTCAGGGTTCGTTTACAGGGCTCTATAAGGGCTCTTTAGGGTTTGGGGTGAAAGGCTCCATGTACCATATATAGTATATACTTCGGCGTTAAAAGGGGGTTGCTACAAAGGTACTTTACAGCCTAAACCCATAAACCCTAAACCCTAAAACCCTAAACCCTAAACCCTAAACCCTTAAACCCTAAATCCTAAAACCCTAAACCCTTATAGGGTTTAGGGTATAGGGTTTAGGTCATGGAACCTTAGGACTAGGGTCCGCATAGGGGCCTTAATGCGCTTTGACGAGGCTTCCCTTTCAGCGTTCCCAAAAAGGGGTTCTTGAAGGGGTTACCCTACAACCTCAACCCTAAACCCCTAAACCCTAAACCCTAAACCCCCAAACCCTAAACCCCATAAGGGTTGTGATACAGTTTTCTCAGCAAGGCTTTCGGTATTCCCTGGAGTTTAGGGTTTAGGGTTTTGGGTTTAGGGTTTAGGGTTTAGGGTTTAAGGTTTAGGGTTTAGTCTTCGGATAGGAAGCCCCAACTATGCCCTGCGATCATATAATACACTGTAAGATACTATAATATATACTATACTGCAATATACTATAAGGTGCCATAATATACTATAATATACAATAATACATTATGATGTACTATAACATACGATCATATACTATAACATGCTAAAAGATACGGTGATATACTGTAATCTATTCTAAGGTACCATAACAAACCCTAAACCCTAAACCATAATATACTCTACTATACTATCAGAAAGAAATCATGTAACCATGCCACCATGAGGGACCATAGCGCCTCGATCCTCGGGCCATATGACATCTGGTGAGGACTCCAGATAGGAAAGCGGCGGT